AGCCTTGTCCTGCTCCAAATTTTTCAGGCAATCTATTAACTTCTTCTTGTAACCACTTCCTGGATCTCTTTTCAGAGGTTCATATGTGGTTAGGTACTTAGGGATCACTCTGACAACTCACCCTACAAAACTGTTCAATGCTAACTACACTGAGTTAATAAAACAATTCAAGAATGATCTGACCCGTTGGGAAGTCCTCCCACTCTCGCTGTTAGGCAGAATCGAAACTATAAAAATGAATTTACTTCCTCGTCTTCTGTTTTTGTTTTAATCATTGCCCATAAGAGTTCCTATTTCTATTTTTAATAAACTAAACAAATTAATATCACAGTTTATATGGCAGCACAAGAGACCTAGAATAAGACTTAAGACACTTTACTTGTCAAAAGATAAATGAGGAGTAGCTCTGCCTAATTTAAAATATTATTACTGGGCAGCTCAATTAGCTGCAATAGTCACTTGGATTAGAGGAGATGAAGAACCAGTTTGGAATCGAATAGAGCAGGGGGAGCTGAAGGGTATATATTGTCAACTTTGCCTTTTATTGATTCAAAATCTGTCATTAAATTGAAAATTGAAAATGAATGGATTAAACATACTCTGAAGATTTGGATGGAAGTAAAAAAAAATGTTGAATGACACATGATCAATATCTCGAGCTATGCCAATCGTGGGTAATATAGACTTTCCTCCTTCTGTATGGGACCAGGGGTTTAGAAAATGGAACACCAAATGTCTCATGACTCAACCAGTTGTTTGGAGAAACAGGTTTTAAATCTTTCTCACAGATTAGGGAGCAATTTGATCTCCCAGCAAAAGATATGTATAGATATATCCAAATTAGACATTACATTATGAACCATAAAAACAAAGAGAATTAATAAAGATCCAAATGATATAGAACAATACTTTATTTCCATTATAGAAAAGAAACTTCCAACAAAAATACATTTCTTTAATTTATATAAGAGGCTCTCACTTGATATTAACCAGAATACCTGGTATATTAAAGAGAAATGGGAATTGGAGTTAAATGTCCTGATAGAAGATGAAGTATGGGATAACCTGTGGAAAGACAGCCAAAGAGGGATTACCAGTCAGTTATGGAAAGAATTTGCCTGGAAACTGAAAATGAGGTATTTCCACACACCTCTTAATATCTCTAATTTTGCAAAGGATCCCTCAACTGCATACTGCTGGAGAAAATGTGGGAAAATAGGTGACCATACACACATATTCTGGGATTGTCCTGTTATCCAAACATACTGGAGGAATATCAAGGTGGAGCTTGAGAAAATAATACAGATGGAGGTTCCATCAGGTCCGTTGTTTTATATACTGGGGGTTATGTTAAATGAAGAGTTCAACTCAAATCAGAGATATGTAGTAAATGTTTTATTATTGGTTGCAAAAAAACTAATCACTGTAAATTGGAAAGACTTGAAACCCCCAACAATAATTGAATAGAAAGGGAGGGTTAAACAAGTATATATTATGGAAAAGATGACATCAGTTCTACAAATGACCACTGATCTTTTTGACCAAAGGTGGCGCTGTGTGGAGGTGTACCTGACATCTTGATGGGTGGTTCGTTGTGAATTTCAGAGGATTTGGGTCATTGCTTTTGTATATTTATTGTGACTATTTTTTTTAAAGTTGTGGGTAATTCCTGTGCTGTGCGTTTTTTTGTTTTTGTTGTTTTGTTTATTTTATTTATTTTTTTATTTTAGTGTTCAATGAAGGGGGAATGCTGTGTAAAAAATGAAAAAAAAAAGGCTTAAAATAAAAAGTAAAAAAAAAAGAAGGACCACACTCACCCTGCACACACACTTTTTGCCCCACTCCCCTCAGGAAGGAGGTTGAGGAGCATTAAGTGTAGAACCACTAGACTGAGGAACAGCTTCTACCCTGAGGCTTAGACTCATGAATCTCTAACCAGAATAATCACTGTGAAAAATCACATCATGTTGCTGCTGATCTGCTTCATGTTGCTGCTGATCTGTTTCATGTTGATGTGTTCATGCGTGCACATCTGCTCACACAGACTCGTGTACATGTTTGTGCTGATGTACAACGTAATATTTTTATGCTAGTAGTGCTTAGTGTATATTTAGTTGATGTTTTTCTTAGTTCATATCTTAGATGTTATTACTGTTTTTCTTTTACATTTTATTGTTGGATGTAACTGGGACCCTGTGTACATAATCTCATTCCACCACATGAGGTGCGAATGACAATAAAGAAACTCCGACTCTGTACTTGTAAAAAAAGACCATGGTAGAATAAGTTTAAGGTTAGGGTGATCAAGCGATGTGGATCAGATGCAGGCAGTCTCTCAGTGGTGATATGGTCTCAGCTTTTGTGTGCGTTGAAAGTTAGCAGCTCACTAGGCCCACCACGTAGCCTCACCACGATGTTGCACCACAAGACTGGCTCCGCATGAGACTGGGACCTTCCGCTCGATCTCCGCCGCTTCTTGTACGTTAGCTCCCTCTGCTAACTCACTTCCTAGGATAGCTTCTTTGAGACCATTGGTTTTTAAGTACCCTAAAAACCTTGCTTCCAAGATGTGGTAGCGGGCTTCGTCTCCGTCAAACCGTGGTGGAAGTCCCCTGCCGTGCATTGTTACAGCCGAAACTTTACTGGGCCCCATAACCTGTAGACATTTCTGCAGCAGGTATCCCACTAGTCACATGGGAAGCTCTTGGCTCGTCTTCACCATCTGTTACATACTGCTTTCACAATACAATCTGCTGACTGATGCATATATCATATTGATTTGGGCTAAAAGTTCCTCCTAACCTTATCAATCACTCAGGTTGCCTGTGAGAGGACATTCTCCACCCTGAAGTTGGTGAAGAACCACCTAAGAACCTCCCTCAGTCAAGAGAACCTTGAAGCATTTCTTTGGATGGCAACAGAGAAAGAGGTTCTGATGGAAATGGACAAAGAGGATATTATTGATAGAATATCGGACAGCACTGATCATCTACACTGCCGGCTGGTGGTGGTGGCCTGGGATGGTATCAAATTCCCAGCCTGGATTATTGTCCCAGACTGCCCCTGACATCCAACCAGTAGTTTAACAACTGAGTAGTTAATAGACCGTTAGGTGGACACTTCATGTGTAAATTATAAAAACTGGGAATTGTTAAGGGTCAGAAGCTGCCAGGGGAATGTTGATCACGATTTATGGATGTTTACCACTAACTAATGTTAAATTTATGTTGAAAGATGTGTGTGAGTTCAGAGAGTTCTTTTCTCTCAGATAGGAGCTGATTTGATCCTGCATGTGTGGCTGGGAGGCCGAGGTCATCATGGACTGTCTGTGAGGGTTGATTAGCATGTAAATAAAAAACAAAACCATAAAAAAACAATTCTTGCGCACTGCCCGGTTCAGACTCTTGCGACCGGGCTCTGAGTAAGCCTGCGAGTGAAAGTCTGCCCTTGCAAGTAAAAACTGATTAAATATCTTCTCGTGTCCTCAAGTGTGGCTTCTTTGAGGAATTAAGATGAATAGAGGATATTTTGTCCAACATAAGTTTCAATATGTCTGAGATGCTGAAGTTTCATGAAGGAATGGTATTAAAATGACCTTTAATAAAGGGAACAAAATAAAGTCATATTTACTCCATCATGGACGCTTCCTTGGTCTCCAGAATGTGGTCAGTGAGGATCCAAGGCATGGACATCTCAATGGGGAATTGGATCCTGCGGCCCATAGTGAGCTCCAGAAAGAACTCTCTGAACCAGAGCTGGGAGAGGTCACAACATTGCTGCAGAGTCTCTGCAAAGACAAGATGTAGAGGTTAGAACGCCATTAGGATTAAGAGGAGCTAAAAGATCAAACTGGTGTCTCTTCTTACCGCTGAAGTTCAGCAGGTGTGTGTAGAAGAAGGACTCCTTGTGAAACTTTTCAATGTCTAGAATGGTGGGACCCTCGAGTCCGCTGCGCAGCGTCTTCTTTGAGCCACTTTTGTCAGCAATAAGCGACTCCAGCATGGTCCTCACCATGTAGAGCTGAAGATTTATGAGCACAGAAACAAATAAACAAGGGACTCGGCACACTGGTGGTTCTGCCTCAACCATCACACAAATGGCATCAGTTCAAGAATTCTTTTTTCATTTAAAAAAATACAACTTTTCTTATTGTTGGATTCTTGGATGGAAGGTGAAACGTTTCTGCACAAAAAACAAGAAACTGTCCAGATGACCTGACTGAAAATTGTTGGATTGTATACCTGGATTATTGAGCATGGACTTTGATGGTTAACTTTTCTTATTCTTCCTCTATCATTACTTAAAAAAAGGAAAAAAAGAAGTGGTTTGCCAAGGCCCCCATCACGTACAGATCTGAATAGTGAATGTCATTTTTGACAGGAGTGTTTTTCTGGACTGGAATTGAACAGGGAATGCAGATTAACAGAGGTCGGTTTTGTTTCTGCTGCTCTGAGACAGTGCAGAGTGACACATACTGGCAGGTAGAGGGGGCCATTTTATCCACCACAGGTCACAATGACAGAACCAGGGGATGCCCACAATCTTCGACCACCCCAATCATACTTGTTTTATATATTTTTAATCTCATAGTTAATGTTGAATTATTGTCAGAAAGGTTGATTTTTGGTTAAGGTTGACGACTAATGATTGATCAAACTTTAATCAATCATTCAGTTCTAGCCAATTAACCAATGTTGAAAATATGTCATTGAATCAATGTATTGTGGTTGAATTTCAATGATTGAAATGCTAATGTCTAATCCAGTGTTTTTCATAAGTGGGGGGCCACGGCCCACTGGGAAGCCCCAGAAAGCTTTTGTTTTGTTCCTCTGGTCAACAGATTGTTGAAAAGTTGTTCTATTTCATATAGGCTTTGCCCTTTAAGGCTGTCGCTGATGGGTTTATATCCATTTGCGAAGCATCACACTGAAAAATGTAGTCCACCCCCACCTGCATTGTGGGTCCCACCCGGTCCGTATAAGTTACGTTAAGAGCGGGTAATCGGCTCCCAATTTTCTTCAGCAAGCTAATAACACTGACCTTCGACAAGATGTCCAGCTCCAACACCATCCGCTTGTGTCCATCTTGCAAGACCGGTTACTTGCTCAGCTTTGACCGGCACGACACCTGCGAGGGATGCCTGGATCCCCGCCACGTCGGCCGCGCTTCCTCCTGCCGCCTCTGTGACGATCTTCCACCGGAGGAAAGGCAGAGGAGAGCAGCCTTGTTTAAGGCCAACGTCGAGGACTGCCTGTCCGTGGCAGGAGACTGTTCGCTGGACGACGCGATCGACTTCTTCGACGCCAGCTCTCGGAGCGAATTGGATGGTTCCTCTGGGACAGGCGACGTCAGCAGCAGCCCCGATGCTCGCTCCCTCCCGGACAGCGCAGTGTTGGAACGAGGGGGGCCGAGCAGATGCTCGACCCCTCTGGGTTTTCCCGCCTCAACGGCCACATCGCTCCCTGCCGTCGGCGCACTCCTATCGGAGTTGCCCGACAGTATCCGAGAAGCTGCTGACATGAAGGGACTTCCCATTCAGGAGCAGTTTCATGGCCATGTTGGCGAACTCCAAGCAGTCGGAGGAGGTGTCAGAGACTGTGCGCCACCTCATCAAGCCGCGCGGCTCATCCCGCCCCCTGGCCCGCTGGAGAGATCATCGTGAGCAGAGGCAGAAGCAACGACGTTCCACGGCCGCTGCCGCGGCATCTCGCTCAGCTCCACCACCAGCCCCGCCCGTCAGAGACCAGCCCTCTTCATCCCAGCAACCAGCAGTTCAGCGTTTCCCCAGAGATCGCCAGCAGATGGCGCCCTGGGCCAACAAATCGCAGAGCTTACGGGGGAGAAGATTTTAAAAATGACGGCCTGCGGAGGGTGTGTGTAAAAGTGACACGAAAGTTGAAATAAATCATCATTCAATGATCAAAGTGTCTGTTTTTAGCCAGTCTGTAAGCTCGGATGAACTCACAGCGGCTGCACACACATCCTCCACACATAACGAGCCGGTGTCCTTAAATAAAGGTTTTTTTAAACTCACCGTTGCTCCAAGACATGACGAGACGCTCACACGACACAATGGTAAGCGAAATAACTCGTCGTCAACCCAAGCTGCACGATCCTCACCCAAGCGGTGTCAAACGCGCACTCGCGCGACGCAAACAGCCTTCACCCAAACGGCGTTGCATTGATGATGGTGCACACACAGCTCCCCGGCGTTCACCAGCTCACATCGGCATAAATGTGGGACCGCAGGTCGGGTCCGGTGAAGGCCCTTGTTCTCAGCAAGAGCGACACGCACCTCACCGAAGCAAACGCGTGCCGCCACGGTGCGGGCAGATTTCACCCACCGCGTCTCAGCGCTCGGCCGCTTACGGCAGCATAAGCGTGAGACAGCTGAGCGAACCCAGTGATGAGTCTTGCCTCCAGCGAGAGCGGCGCACGTCCCACCAGAGAAAACGTGTGCTCCCGCGGGGCTTGCAGCTTTCACTCAAACGGCACGGCGTAGATGAAGTCGCGCTCACCACTTCTCAACGCTCTCCCGCTCATGGCGGCATAGATGCGAGATCTCAAAGCGAACCCAGCGCAGGACACCGCTCACGGCAGGAGCGACATGCGTTTCACCGCAGTGGCGTCAAACGCGCGGTCACACGCTTTGCCTCAACACACACCGGCCCACCTAGACATAAAGGTTGGTCCGCGGTCTGAACGCAGCACACGGGCGCGTTCAGAGCCCTTTCGAGGAAGCCTCGCCTTGGGTCACGCGGAAAACATTCCCGCGACACATAATGGCGGTCGAGGCGGTGGACTGGATAACATCCATACCAAACATCATCACTTAAACGCGCATCCACTCCACGAACGTTACGCGGAGTGGCTAAAAACATGCTCGCCAGACAGATGGATGACCAGGTTGTTAAGCAAAGGGTATACGTTGCAATTTGCAACCCAACCCCCTCCGTTCGGAGGAATTTAGAGACGGTCCTGTCATCACCAGACCAGGTCTCATCCCTAAATGCAGAAGTCAAAGAACTTCTGGTAAAATAAGTGATCTCCAGGGTTCCCAACGGAGAGGAAAACACAGGGTTTTACTCATGTTACTTCCTGGTTTCCAAACGGACCGGAGGGACGAGACCCATTTTGGACCTGTCAGTTTTCAACAAGGCGATCATGGACAGACCGTTTCACATGTTGACAACCAGACAGCTGTTGGACAACATCCAGAGAAACAATTGGTTTGTTTCCGTCGACCTGAAAGATGCCTATTTTCACATACCGATCATCCCAAAACACACAGAAAATTCCTGAGTTTCTCCTTTCAAGGGATGAAGTATCAGTACAACAGGCTGCCGTTCGGGTATTCCCTCGCACCTCGTATGTTCTCAAAGTGTGTGGAGACAGCCCTGTAACCATTACACAGAGCAGGGATGAGAGTTTTGTTTTACCTGGATGACCTGCTGCTGCTGTCACGCTCCAGAAAGAAGGCAGCGAGACAGGCCCAGGCACTAAAATCACACCTGTTAAATCTGGGCTTTGCCATAAATTGGAAGAAAAGCTCGATTTTCCCGGCCCAGACATTTGTTTATCTGGAAGTGGAGCTAAACTTGACCACCATGAGGGCTCGTTTATCACAAACGAGAATCGACACTCTGAAAGACCAGCTCCGCCACGTAAGACCTGGCAGAGTGATAACAGCTGTTTCCGTTATGAAGCTGTTAGGGATGATGTCGTCAGCTCACACGTGGTCCCGCTGGGTTTACAACATATGAGACGCCTCCAGAGGTGGTTTGCGCGTCTGTGTGTGGATCCAGTAAAACAAAAGAGACGGATGATCACTGTCCCTCCCTCCGTGAGAGCAGACCTCCGACACGGGGGAAACACCCTGGTTCTGTCGGAGGGAGTCCCCATCAGCAGACCCACGTCACACGTATCAGTCTTCACAGACGTGTCATTGTCAGGCTGGTGGAGACATGCCTATCTCAAGCTGTAGGGGTGCTGTGGCCCCATCACACATCAGCCCACATAAATGTTTTGGAGTGTCGCACGGTGCTGAACGTGATTCAACACTTTGCTCCTGTGCTGCAGAATCAACACATTTTGATTCACACAGACAAGGTGACTGCTGCATACATAAACCGGCAGGGGTGTGTGCGCTCAGCCCAGATGTTACACATTGCGCGAAAGCTACAGTGTTGGGCACACCAAAATCTGCTCTCCATCAGAGCAGTTTACATACCCGGTGTTCTGAAAAAAAGGGGCAGATGTGATGTCCAGGGGCGGTCCATGTCACGGGGACTGGACTCTCCATCCAGACCTGATGGCTCAGACGTGGCAGAAATTTGACAAAGCAGCTGTGGACCTACTTGCGACACGAGAAAACGTTCAGTGTCAACTATGGTTTTCTCTGAGCCCGCGAGACGAAGCACCGCTGGGGGTGGATGCGTTTGCCCAGAGCCCATGGCCCAAAACGCTTCTGTACGCGTTTCCTCCACCTCCTCTGATTTTACGGTTCCTGAACCGAGTTCAGGAGGAGGGATTGACAGCTCTCCTGGTGGCCCCTGAGCACGTGAACACACCATGGTTCCCAGTCCTGCAATGCCTGCTGTCGGGGCGCCCGTAGAAACTGCCGTGGAGGGAGGACGCTCTCCTCTAGGCAGGAGGAGCGATCAGGAGTTACCCAGAAATAGGCCAGCACCTGTGGGTCTGGCCGCTGAGCGGATCCGCTTGGAGAGGATGGGTCTCCCACAGGATGTAGTGCGCACAATCCAGGATTCATGTGCTGCATCTACCACAGCGCTGAACACATCAAAGTGGACAGCTTTTCAGCGCTGGTGTACAGAGAAAGGTGTAGAGGCCACCTCATGTCCAATAGGTGGTGTGCTGTCCTTTCTGCAACAGCTGATGGACAGGAACTTGGCGTTCAGCACGATTAAAACGTACCCTGCAGCCATCTCTTCCTGCCACGAAGGGTTCGGAGACAGAACAGCTTTTAATCATCCGCTGATGAAGCGTTTTCTAAAAGGTGT